CGACAGCAGGTGCCCTAAGTCGCACGACTCGTGTGGCGTCGCTGCAGAGCTGGCGAGACTCTCGCCGTGCGCACTTGGTGAGCGCACGGCGAGACTTGGGCCGCGTGCTCGTTCTCCCCCTCGCAGCAGCGACGACTTCCAGGTCTCATTTCCAGGCGTGGAAATCGAAACTTGGTGAACAGCAACCGCGGCCGCCCCCTCCCCCTCCTCATCACGCCCACTGGGCGATATCATGTGCTTGCCCATCTCGAGGGCTGCTGCAGCAGGAGTCTGGTTAAAGTAATCAATTCATTTTTATCCTGATTTGAAGCTTTCATGACTGCAGGAATCAATTTGGTTATTTTGGTAAAGTCACGTAGGTAGAAATAAAATGAATTCAATCACGACGTTTCGGGCGCAACACAAGCGTCCGTCATCAGGTGGGACAACCACAGCAAGAAACAATTGCTGAAGAGGGCAAAAGGGCTGCTGTAACAAGAGGCTATATAGGTAAGAGAGGGGGGAGGAGCCAGGGAGGAGAGACAGAGAGGGGGGGGGAGTGGTGTGGGGTAGGGAACACATTTTTTGCTTAAGGTAATCGAATAAAAATATACTTAATTGCATATTTCTTGGATTAATAAACTGACCATATATCACCACGTATCACGAGCCACCGTGTCACACCGGGTGTGCACTTCGTTGAGTTAACCGCAGCCTGGAGGCAGCATACCCAGTGGCCTCATATTTTTTAAATAGTTGCCGATTTAACTGATCAGTAATTTCGCATTTGCTCATCTCCAAACTTGAGCTCTCTTCTCTGCATAGTTATGCACTTGCACCTACTTGGACCAGACATTGCGTACAGATAACCTGCTAAATAAAGCCTGCTAACACGTCGGCTTTCGCGACCTCGATTATCCACAAGAGGTTTTTGGGTTCGATCGCGTGAATATAAATGTGTCGTTAAACCTGTCACCACCCGATACAGCCAGTGTAGTAAGGTTTGTCACGTTAACAAAACCTGCCAATTCGTGACTAGTTCAGCACACCCGGCGTGTTGGAGGCTAAACCCACAACATCTACAATTCGAGTACAGTGACGTTTCGCCCGTAATTGCAACCGGTATCAGGCGACAGCCAGAGTTGTCGGAGAAATCCTCCTTCAGCCAAATCCTCACGAGGTCAGCTGGCATCTAGAAGAGTGTGCCCATGCTGCTCACGGATGTGCTTTTCTCTTTCCATCGTTGATTTTTGCATCAAAGGAAAACGTCAAAGGGCGTGGAATCCTGGCTTTCACTAATAGTCAAAATCACGATTGGTTACACGTGCTCACGTGACTGTATTCCTCGCATTCCCGCGCTGGCTGCTCCTGTTAAACGGATATGCGTAAGCGCAGCCGTTAAATGAGCTTCTTTCCTGCGGTCTGCAACCCAGTGTGATCTGTGTGACAGCCACGTGTGTGACACGTCCGCTGCTCTCCCATTGCTACTGTGCAAGAAGGAAACACGATTCTGGATTCAAATTAAAAGATATACAGTGATCCCTCGTTTATCGCGGTTAATGGGGACCGGAACCCCTAGCGATAGGTGAAAATCCGCGAAGTAGGATTGGCCCCCTAGGAATTTCCGTATATGTGTGTGTGGGTACCAGAATGTTTAAAATATGTATATTTATACTTTATATATATATTTTACTTAAATCTATTTAATTATAAAACCTTAATATTATACATTCACTCTCTCTCTCTCTCATACGATACGTATTATGGTGTTCTACACTCACCAATGACAGTAGTATCTTGAGACTTGACTCCAGTAATGACGACGACGACGATGACAATGACGATGACAATGACGACGATGACAGACCTGTGCAGTTCGATGAATGTGATGATGAAGATGATGGTGTTACTGCACAAGTATAATGAGGCCTTTAAATCAGTTCGAAAAATCCGCGATGCACTGAGGCCGCGAAACTTGAACCGCGAAGTGGTGAGGGATTACTGTATTTGTGCAGGGTCTTTTATTTGAGGGCACAGCCAGGGCAAGGAAGTCTTGAGTGCACGCATATAAGTGGTATAAACCCCCTAGACATGCGGGTACGTTTTCAATGGCATTCTTTTTACAAAAAATACATTAACATTTCAACGTCACTTTTTTCCCAAGCAAAGATGATCAAACAAAAAAGTAATACAAAAAAGAAAATCAGAAACCCTTTTTTTTTTCTTGAGTGTTGGCGAATGCCTCAAGCTTCACTTTGATAGGCACACTTATAATTGAGAAATCGTAAAAGTTCCAACCGAATGTGGAGCCACGGAAGCACCTCGGGCAGCTTTTAAAGTGACGGTATTCTTGTTAAGGAGAGCCGGGGCGCGCTCATCATGTCGGTGCCAGGGAATTAAATTGGCAGATGGACAACGAATTCTGCACGGCGTTCCGACATGCTTCATCCGCTGATGGGAGCCGTTGCATTTGCGGGAAATATTTGCCTTTGTCATTTGGTAGGTACCTTTGTGTGTGTGCGCTCCGGTCAAGTACGCTGGTACACTGCGTTGGGTTTGTACAAATAGCAGTTGATGCATTTTTGGCCATTGTGAAGGCGTTTGAGAACACATTTTTGAAAAATACGTTTCGCCTATGAATCCACGGTCGACAAAAACCAAGGACGGTGTGCTGCCGAGTTCCGAGAGGATGAATCTGGTCAATGAAAATACCTCCAGCTCCTGTTCGCCAAAAGAAAGTTGCGTTTTGTTCAGAAAACACGTCCAACCCTGGCAGACGATGACACGGGATCTGCTTGCATTGCAACAGCGCCGGGGTAAATCCGCTCCAAATTTTCTCTGGCAGCTGTGGGAATTGCACCCCAGGACTTCCCGTTGAGCACGCCACAACGCTGCAAACCTGCCCAGCCAAACTTTGTCGGGTCAATCGACAAAGCGGCGTGGCGTGGCGTGGGGTCAGGGCTGTTGAGATGTTTTTTTTAAGGGATTAACACGGTGGCCATTATAAACCGCCAAAAGCGGGAAGCTTTTAATTAAAGAAATAAAATAATAAAAGAGACGGGCGCAGCTGTGACGGCTGACGCGGCACAGCGGGGCTGTGGCTGGTGACCGTATTATGCAGACGGCGTCTGGAAGAGCCCTCCCCACCACCGCCCCCCCCCACCTTCTAGACGGTTGCCCCCCCCCACCACTACCCACTCCCCCGTCGCGTCAATCCGCAGGCTCTCCTTGGCATTGCACGCTGCCGCCCCGCTCTCACCACCACGCGGCCCCGTTCCCCCCCCCCCCCGGCACCGCATGGGCGACGTGAAATTATCTTGCCGTGGATTTCCTCGTTGCATTCTTCGCGAGGTGTTTACGCGGCAGCAGCAGCAGCACGGCCGGGTGTAAGCAGTCGAGTGCCTTGGGAGGACTGCCCCCGTACCCTCAGGTTAATTGCCTCTTTCTTGCGCTTGTTTAATTTATCTCATTTTATAATTGGCAACTTGCATAGTCCATTGTCCGTTAATAACAAATAATAGTTTGTTTTTTTTATCTCGCGCTCTTTACGCCGGAGCGTTCCGCAGCGCTTTGTTCACAAAATGAGAGTCCGAATTGTTTTTTTTGGGGGGGGCCTACTGCATTTCTGCCAAAATTTCGGTGGAGAAATGGCCAAATCGGTGCTTGACGACACTGACTGTCGTTTTATCGCTTATAAATTTCAACAAAAAACGCCCTTTGTTTTGTTTGCCCCACACACGATTTAGATCCTCCAATGTTTATTGTTTTCCCCCCCTACCTGCTGAGTGTCATTTTCAGTGTCTTTTATACGCAGCAGGGTCACTGCCGCCGCCCCTCCCCTTAACTAAAGAGCCTGCCAAAAGGCCACAGAATCGTGCGGTTTGCCACACCATACCGCCCACCCCTCCTCTCCCCCCGCGTATCTCACTCCGCCACTTACCATTGTGTGCAGAACGCGACACTTGCCCGCGCTCAATGTTCCTACCCCTGACGCCGCTACGCCGCTGACTAACGCGGGAAGCACATTCTCAGCCATGCATAGCTGCGGATGTCGTCGGCCGTGCTAGAAAGCGTACACTTATAAGAGGGGGGGAAAACGTTCGCAAGTCAGAGACGTTACGTTGGCCGCGAAGACAAGTGAAGTGGGTTTCGGCAGAACAAGTCGTTAAAAAGACGGAATGACGGCTAGTGATCGAGGCTAACAAAGGAGTGACGGCGAAAGGTGCAAACTCGCCCCAAAGGGGATGTCCACCGCAGAGGTGGAGCAATGAAATCGGCTCATGTGCAGCAGCCGATGCTACTTCAGCTTGATGGTTTAGGTGCGATACATTGATGAACACCACCATCATTGTCATCATCAGAGATGCTCTACCCACTGCTGGATGAAGGCCCTCGCCATGCCGACGGCATCACCCTCGCGGTCCTGCGACGCCACAATCCATCTCGCTTGTGCACACGAGCTGATGGGCATCCTCTCGGGCTCGTTCTTTCCGTTGGCTGTGATTCAATCGCCAGTTTCATCCATCGGCCAGCATATCCCTTCAGGCAGTGTTCCCTGCCCAGGCCCATTTACTCACCTTAACTAGAAATGTCTCTTAATTTGCATTTGTTCTCCGATTCACGTGCACCTATTTCGGCGTCTCGGTATAATTGGAAGCTTCCTTGGACGCTTCAGCTTTTAATCCATCTCATTTGTCGGTGTCCACGTTCCTGGTCGGTACGCTATCGCGAGTGCTCCGAACAGCGTGGGGCGGACTCTGTAAGCGAAGCAGTTCAATTGAGCAGGGCATGAATCTGCCCAACATAGACGGCTCCCTGCTGGGAGAGTGCACTGTCGCGTCCGTGTGGAACCCTGGGCGCTGCACGTGAGAGCCAGGCGAGGTGTCCCCAGCGCGATGTGCGAATTACGCCAGCGGTCTTTGTGCATTTGTTGGAGGTGTCGCGCGTGTCGGGTGAAATGTGCGGCCAGAAACCCCGCTGATTTTTAGAGTGCACTCTCCTGTCTCTCTCTTTTATCCCAGGTGGTACACGTGCATGCTGGGTAAAAAGTGCAGTCTGGCACCGTTGAAGGAGGAGCTACGGAGATGCGGGGTAAGTGTTTAAAAAAAAATGTGCAAAATAACAAGTGTTGTCTTCATTCGTTAAGCACCTCATTTGCATCGCCTATTTGCGGTCCGCGCTCCAGCGGTTGCTCTCATTACCGCGTTGTTGTCTTCACGCTACTGCCCAAAGACGGAGGTGCTCGATCGAGTCATCGCTCTGCCGCTTGTCTCTCACATTTTACTCGATTGCGAACTCTTCACAGATTTTACCTTTGCCGGCTCTGGCATTGCAATCGCGCACAAATAAAAAAACACGCGTATAATTTATCGGAATTTCATCCAGCAGCGCGGTCAAACGAAGCTTAGTATTTTCCTTAAACGCTCGGTAGGTTACCATCGCTGGATGCAACCGCAAGTATTGCACATAACACATGGCACAGACTCACCCCTCCTTACTTTACCTGCCCGTGCTCTCATTATTATTCCAAGTTGAATTGAGCATTACAGATCCAATGTGTCATGCAACATATATGAATATTGCTGCACACGACGGAACGCGCTGCTCTTGTTCTTCGGGCCGTACTCCCTAAGAGCAAAATCAATTCGTACATAAAGTATAGATTTGGCGACCAGGGCCGTGTCATTGTTGGTGGCTGTCACGGGGGAGGGGAGGGGGGAGGGGAGTGCAGGTAAGGGCAGAGGCAGCTGCACTTCGATAGGAGCCTGCTGAGGGATTTGAGAAATCAAACTGTGACCACCAGCTGCTCTGCACCCTTTTAGAAGTCTCTTCATGTCCTTTATTCAATCGCCCCATTCCACTTCATCATAACCATTGGCAGTGATCCACCTACTGTTGGATGAAGGCCTCCCTGATCTTGTGATACAATGGTGCGTCCAGTTCTTGCACTATCATTGCATTGAGGATGTCCCCACAGGGTCGTATATTCCCCCCCCCTTTGGCCGCCACTCCCATCTTTTAGTATCGACCAACGGCAATCGTCCTTTCTCACCATGTGTCCTGCCCAAGCCCGTGCACTTTTTGCATATCAATCAATCAAGTCTTTCTATTGCATTATTTCGTGCAAAGGATGCCATTCAAAGTGCTGCAAAGATAAAAAAAAACATTGTTAATAGGCCTGTGATCCATGTGTTCGTCTTTGTTGTGTTGTGCAGTTGCAAGGCTGCACCTCTCCGTAGTTCATTGCGCGCTTTTGGCACCAAGAGCTCTGACTCAAGTGCACCATCAGGAACTGATTTCTCTTCGCCGGAAAAACAATGTTAGGCCTGGGATGCGTGCATTAATTTGGAATAGAGATCCGCATTTTGCAGGACTGTGAGGGATTGCGATGGCTTTCGGGAGCCATCGTGTGCAGCAGTGGATCGATCTTGGCTGATGATGTGGTGAAAGAGATGTGCGGAACATTCCTTCACTAAATTTAAGCTTCTTGGTTCTTTCGGTAAAGTCACGTAGAAGGGAAGTAATAAAATAATAAAAATAAAACATAATAAAATAATTCTCACGACGTTTCGGCCACAACGCAAGCAGCCGTCCTCAGGTGAAACCAGGTCTGTCGAGGCGACAGCGTCCGAATGAAACAGCACACGTGCTTGGAGCATATATATACGCTGTCGCCTCGACAGACCTGGTTTCACCTGAGGACGGCTGCTTGCGTTGTGGCCGAAACGTCGTGAGAATTATTTTATTATGTTTTATTTTTATTATTTTATTACTTCCCTTCTACGTGACTTTACCGAAAGAACCAAGAAGGTGAATCCCTGCAGTCACGAAAGCTTTAAATCGAAATTTAAGCTTCCATCTCTGTGATGCGTTATGCTTTCATCTTCCTCTCCAAGGGCTCACATTTATCAATTGCCAATCTACCGTTTTGCTTCTATCGTGTCCCCAGTTGCTTGCTTTTGACATCTTTAATCATGCACGTGTTGTATTCTCTGATTGCTCTTGATATTTATCCTTCTGATATTGTGTGCTTTCACCTAATTTGTTCTCTGCTTCTTAACCTTTCCCTCACTTTCAATGGCCTATCTAGTACTGTGCTCGTAATTGAATCAATGAAAGTGGGCATACCCATTTTGTCTCGTTGTTCCTCTTGGCATTTGCATGTTTTGCTTACCCACATGTAGACACCTGGGTTTCAGTCCACTGCTGGATGAGGCCCTGCCCATTCTGCGTGTGATTATTTTTTGGGGTTTGTTTGCCTTTACTTCTTTCTAGATTTGAAGCTTTCGTGACTGCAAGGATTCATACTCTTAGTTCTTTCTGTAAAGTCACTTGATACAGATGTTTTGCTGTGACAGTTTCACCTGAAGACGGAAGCTTGTGTTGCCTCCGAAACGTCGTTATTTTATTGTTTTTATTTTTTATTAATTTTCATTTCATTTTTTACCTATGTGACTTTACCGAAAGAACTAAGAGTATGACTTTACTTCACCACGCTGGTCCGTGCTGGCTGGTGAAGGTGGGCAGCATAGACACAACAGCATAGAAACACGGTACAGCGCTGGATTTTGCTGCATTGTCACCTGCTGCCTTGCAGCGTAGCCCGGCAAGCCCTACTACAATTTGTGCGTGGTGTTCCCCCCCCATTCAAGCATGATCCAGGCTCTCAACCCTGCTGGGCTTCCGCGGTTTGATGGGATTTGGGTGCGTTCCGGCTGATTTCGTCGTAGTCGGTCGAAAGTTGGCTACTTCCTCACCTTGATTTTTTGAAGTTGCATACCATTCACTTTATTTTATTCGCTGTATTTTATTTTTATTATTATTCTATCGACGTGACTTTACCGAAAGAACCAAATAATTTGAATTTGCCTATGATAAGCTTCTACCTCTCTGGCTAATGCTGCGGTGCATCTTGTATCGTGCCAGACTGAAACGTTTCTCGCAGCTGAGGTTTGGCTGTTTAGTTTTCTCGCGCGACACAAGCTCTAGGTATTTGTGATATTTGTGATATTTTCTCTGCTTTTTTTCCTTCCTTCTATCAAAATCTGATTTTAAATACGGATGTTGTCGGTGTTCGAAAAACCTTTCTTAAATCGGCCTTGCCCGTGAACACATGTGGAATTCTATTCAAGGGTGCAAAAAACAGCACAATCCTTTCTTCAAACCTGGCAGTGTGCGTGAAGTGTTACGATTGCGGTTATATTGCAGCCGTCTTGTCAAATTGGCTCTGTGAATAGTTAATCTAAGGCAAAGTTACCACAATCAGTTTTAACGCGGCCTTTGATTGCTCTGGTTATAAGTCGCTGCATGCGCTATTTGATGGCCCCTGTGTGAGTATTTTCAAGGTTGCTCATGTCCTCATCCGAGTTGAAGCCAATTCCCAGCCCCGTAGCCTGGAATGTGTTTTTTGCAGGATTTTTGAAGGTTAGGCATATCTTATAGCACTCACCACATGGTTTATATCATTGTATGGCAGTGTATAGGCTAAATTCAGAGTAATGTATTCATTCATTACATTACCTGTGTTCCTAAATGCTTGGCTATGCTGTGGACACCTTTAACGAAGCTTGCGGGACATCCCTCTGTGTACAATTCCACAACCAATTTTACCACTTTGAGATTTATTCATTATTGAATAATTACAATTTACATAGTTTTCCACACACCTCAGCCGAAGATGGATGCAAAATTGAGCAATTTTTGCAAGGACTGGATCAACCAAGTAAAGTGTTAACTGTTGTGTTAGCCGACTCTCTGAGTTGCATTACATTTCTACATTTTGTTAAGTTTGATATCTCAGCTTCCTTGTCACATTTCTTTTCTCTCTTTCACCCAAGCCCTCTTTGAATTGTATCCCCACCCTCTCGCCCCTTTGCGGCCTCCCCCCCCTCTATATAATGCCTCGTCACAGAGGCATGTTTCTCTCTTTCACCTGCGGACGATCGCTTGTTGTTGCGATCGAAACGTCGTGATCTATTATTTATGACTTTACCGAAAGAACCTAAGAGTATGAATTCCTGCAGTCACGAAAGCTTCTAATCAAGATAAATAATAAACGCTACGGTTACCACGACTACATTTAATAAAATTCCCGACTTTTTCATAATTCTAGACACCCTTAATGAAGCCAGTGGGAGATTCCTCTGTGCAAAATTTCCATAACGGCCACACAAGGAAAAACTTTACAGCACACGCAATATCCTTGACACTTTTTCTTGGTTCTTTCGGTAAAGTCATGTAGAAGGGAAATAATAAAATAATAAATAATAAAACATTATAAAATAATTCTCACGACGTTTCGGCCACAACGCAAGCAGCCGTCCTCCGGTGAAGAACAGGTCTGTCGGGAAGACACGAAAGCTTTAAATCGAAATCCTTGACATTGTTACTCCAGACTGTAGCCGTGCCATGTTGACGGCTTCGATTGCGATGGGAATTTTACCCCAGTTGTGATTTTGGTTTATAAAAGTGGCGAACAGCACCGATGGCCAGACGACTCGCAGGCGCACGAAGGCAGAGTGACAAAATCAATAATGGGGGATGCAGCGATAAGGCAGCTCTCTCTCTCTCTGCCGCGTCGTTACACTCGGGGATATTTCAAAATCTGTTGTTAGGTGGCTGGGCCCTACAAGCGGTTCGCTTTGTAGCCTTTTAGTGCGTGAATGGCTGTCAGTGTGGTAGCAAGGCATGCATCGGCTGATGAATCTTCTGGTCATCTCAGTCGGCCAACCCCTGGCACCTGGGTCTGACCCGTGACCTCTATTCAGCGAGCCTTCGACACCACTTCACGTGTCCTCAAAGTGCACACAGCCTGGCACAAACGCCGTAGTGATGTCACCGCCACGTAGTGACGAATGGCAGTTGTTGTAAGGCATGTACCAGTTTGACCCCCCCTCTCCAGCGGCGATTCAATGAATTGTCATAATTTAAGGGTCATTTGTATTCTCATATGAACTCTTTTGTTCGTACAAACTTATTTTTCTATTGCTCCCTTAGTCTAATTATAACATCGTAAAATTTAGTTAATTGATGCTTGTATCGTAAGTGTAATAATCAGTTTTAATCGACAAATTAATCAATCGTGAACGAGTAGAAGTCGACGCCTAATCAAGTGGCAGTGTACATTTGCACGCACTACACTCGCGAAAATTAGACCCAAGTATTTAATTGTCGTGTGTGTTTTCATTTTCATATTTTCACTCTAAGGTTGTTGTTGGTTTCAATCGATCCGTCAAATCCTTTTCGGCGGGTGAGAACGTCCACCATCGCAACATTTCTTTTTAGCAGGGACGATCTGGTGAAAAACCTGGTGTGGTGGCGGGGGGGTGGGGGGCGATAGGGTGGTGGGAGCTTTACGTGCACATTGTGCTGATATTTGCACTTAGGAGATTTTGCTTAAATAATTACCGATGGGGGTTCGCCACTCCATACGCTGCCCCTGGTGAGGAAGCGAATGCACCGCCCGCAGGCGCACTTTGTATGGAATCTCTGCGCAGGCAAAGCCCATTTGAGAGCTGGCTGTGCTACGATACTGGCACGACAAAAGGTGCGTTCACTAAGAACACCTCCCAAAAGTGAATCTTCTCTTAATCATTGCACGTGTGTGTGGCCACGGTTAACGTCGGTGGAAAGCAATATCTGAACTGATTTTTGGGGCCTTTTCTCGGTTCACTTTGCTTTAAATGCGTACCTGCTCCAGCATTCCCAGCAATGTCCCCAACAGTTTGTGAGAGGCTAAATGGGGGGGGGGGGGTCGTTTTATGTGTGCATCCTTAACAGATGTTTTTGTGTTAGATGGCATAAATATAAATGTGGTGTTAAACCCGCCACCACCTGACCAAAAGCCAATTAGTCAGGTCCGTCACATAAACAAAACATGGCAGTACTACTAGTAGTACTAGTAAATAATTGGCTTGTTTTGTTTACATACTAGCAGTACTAGTAACAAATTGGCATGTTTTGTTTACGCGACAAACCTTACTAATTGGCTGTCAGGTGGTGGCGCGTTTAACGACACATTTACATTTTCGCGATCTAACCCAAAAACTTCTATCATGGATAATATTGGCCGTGAAAGCCTAAGTGTTAAACTTGTGTGGATGTTTGTGTGTGTGTGTGTGTGCTTGCATGTTTGTGTGTGTGTGTGCGTGCGGTAGTGTAGCAGTTAGCGCGCTGCGCTATGAACCTGGCGACCCAGGGTTCGATTCCGGGTCACGGCTAACACCAATGGCGATTATCTGAACCGGTCCTGGGCCTCCTCTAGGTCGACTCAGCCTTAAATGAGTACCTGGTGCGGTGTGTAAACATTGCCACTGGGGAGACAAAGGCGGTCTGGCGTGGTGCTGGCCACCCACCCCCTCGTTCGTATACCGCTCTGGCCTTCATAGTTGCTTGCTAACAGCACTTGCCCCTACAGTCTGTTAAGGCTATACGGGGGATCTTTATCTTTGTGTGCGTGCATGTTTTTGTGTGTAATTGTGTGCATGTGTTTTTTGTGTGTCATGTTTGTGTGTTATGTTTGGTGCAGGTGCCGCGAATAACCACCACCACGTTCTGCCAAGGTCGCACTATGCGCTGGGCCCTCGCCTGGAGCTTCCACCACAACCTCGCCGTGCCGGTCAGAGCCCCTTCCCCCCCTCCGTGTTCCCACCTGCTCCTCCTCCTCCTCCCCCTTCTAAGCTGTCTTGTGGTTGTTGTTGTTTGACTTGCATCCCACTGGGATTTTTGCACACAGCGTTGGTGTACGGTGTTTTTTTCTGCAATATTTTTTCTGTCTTTTCCTGGATTTTCTGTTTGCACTTAGTCACATATTCACTTTAAGATGTTTTTTGTTCATGTTTTTGTTTTTTGTTTGTTGCGGTTGCACCCGATTCAAGAGCTGAATGGCTCACAGGGCTATACCTAATACATGAACTTGAACTTGAACCCCTCACTCAAGCTTTGTTTTGTTCTCCCTTTGGTTTGAGAACATTCGCTAGGGCAGGAAACCCCCCCGGTGTTCAGCTGGTGGGGGATCTTTTTGCTCACGTTTCAGCTGTAATTTTTTGCGTGCGGATTTTGACCTGTTCTCTCCGTTTGGACTTGCTGCGAAAGCACGGCGGTTTGCGAAGGCGCGTCGGCCTCGTCGACGTCGTTCCGTGTGACCCCGTGGTGACGAAGCCGGGGCTTAATCGTGGCTCCGTGCTGCTGTCCCCCCCCCCCCCCCCCCGCACAGTCGCCCCCTGTCAAGCGGCGGAAGCTGGACAATCAGAAAAAGCCGATCACGTTCTTCGTTGCCGCCGCTGGCGCCGCCGCCGGCGACACGGGGGAGCAGCTGCCCTCTCGCGACGTGCCGCGCCCCAGTCCGGTGGAGCGAGTCGCCGTGCATCTTGAGACGCTCCTCGCCGACTTGAAGGTAACGTCGGTCGCCGTGTGTTGAACCTGCGGGTTTTTTTGTTGTTTTGTCGTCGGCAAACGTATTATTAGTATTCATCCTTTTTGGCATATTGAATCTTTTCGAAGTTTCAGGTACGTCTGTTCTTGGGCTCGTCGTGATGTGCACAAATCACTAATGTGCAGCATACATGTTCAGACAGCTGCTGGATTTTTAACCCTCAACTTTGTTTGAGACTGGCTCTATAATTGGTTTACTGCCCACATCGAATATCCAGTTTAAAAGTGATTGCGGCAATGGATCTTTCATTTGAACAATACTAATTTTATTTTAAACGATTCACACGGTGATATTTGAAATCTGGTAAAGAAAATGCTTCCGGTGTGCTCAGGTGCAACACAGGCGTGTGCCGTGCAGGACGGGTGAAGTCAGCCTCATGCTCACGGCTCCAGAGAACACGTGGATCCACTTGCGTCGCAAACGCCGGCAGTCGCTGCAGACCACCGATGCGCCAGAACCCCTCGAGAGCTGCTCCACGCAGACCCCGACACTCAAACAAGACGGCCACTCGCCTGCAAAACACAGCAGTTCCAACGAATCTGATCCAACAGCTCCCTCGTCAACACCACCACCACCACAGCTGTCGTCGGCACAGCAGCCAGACCAGGACGAGCAGAGCAGCGGTCAGGGGTCCTCAAGGGATGATGGGATGGAGCCGCACAAGAATGGGAAATGCACGGCTGCTTGCAAGCTCACGGAGGCCAATGAACCAAGGGAAGCAGGGCGCGTCGCCGCAAGTGGCGACGCGGCGGATTTGAGCGTCGGCGGAAGTGGGCAGCCGCTCGCGAAGGAGCCGCAGGGAACGACGCCAGGGTGGATTCGTGCTCAAATGCCAGGTGGTTGTGCGGGATGAGTGCAGGATGACGCCTGCGGGCGGTGGCGGCGGCGGCGGCCATGGCCGTAGTGGCGACGTGGCGGTTGATATGTACTGGATAGACGGGCAACATCGTGAACTGCTTAACCAGCTGTCGTGCACTCTTCGCAACAAAATGCTCCGGCTAGGAGGGCAGCAGGCATTGTAAGGTGGCCTGCAACACCATCTCCACGTGTGGACTGTCCACCACCACCCATTATCATCCGTTAACCCCCCCACCCACACACACCTGCTCTCGACATGAAGCAAACTATATACCAGCATTTTTGCACGGGTCCCATTATGGGTAAAGTATTTGAAGTCATTCTCTTTGTAGGAGCCTTCAAGACATAATTTTGCAGCATGATTTCAAAATAAATTGAAGCAAAACACGAATTATAATCTACTGAAACAATTTTAATAGTGAAGTTAATGCTGGTGATGAAAGTTAATATTTTAGTTAATCGGCTGTAATAAATTACATATTCCCCAAAGCTAAAAGTAAATTTTTAAAAAGAGGCATGTTGGAGCTTGTCATGTATGGAGGCAGAGAGTGTCCGTACCTTAGCAAAAATATTAGTACAGACGGCCGATAGATTTTTTTCCGTTACTTTCCTATCCATGCACATTGAATCTAAACGCACACAGGCATCGCATCCACCTGTCTGCCGGTGACCTGCAGGTCATCCTTACAGTGAAACAAAATGTCAGAAAAGAAACAAACCAGACTGGACAGCATGTTTGTGTGCCATGGCATGTGTGTGCCATGCCATGTGTGTGCCATGTTGGGGTAGCATAGTGGCTTGTGTCCTCACTATTGTAGGGCCAGTTTTCATGCAATCGGACGATACAGTTTATTTTACCTGTTAATGTCTGTAGATGCCAGCATCTCCTTGGACGGTGGATGTTTGGAGACTTAATTTGCAATTTTAATTCACAATTGGCGAAGCGATGTCAAACCTACATCAAAAAAGATGTTTTACTTGCAAATACACCTCAACAAATGATCATCTTCCCTTAACACAACTGTAGTTGCCAAAGGGTGCCGTGGTTTTTTCACGAGTGGTAATTCTCCGTTTGCATCTCACTTGTCGAATTTTAAAAAAATTCTGGTGTTGTCGGAATGTAGTTAGAGGAGGAGGAGGAAGAGGGGGGCATTTACTTCAAGGACTACAGTAAGCGGGGAGTCTCCTTATCAAGGTGAAGGCACAGGAAAGGATTTGAGACGTCTCGCACACGGTCCAGGCGTGAAGCTGCTTAACGCCAAATCTCGAGGAGATTGCATTAAGCAAAGTCCGCAGCCTCTTCGATGCCGCGGTTAATATTTCTGATGTAAGGCTCAAGCCCAGGAAACACGAGAGACCACTTTGTCTTGTCCAACCAAATATGACATTGGCTTCAGGCACCAGAACAAGATGATGACCTCCCTTTAGTCAGAATGCGTTTTGTTTATTCTGATGTCACCAGACCTTCCTGGCTCGTTGTGTGAAGTGTATCGACAGCTTGGGTTGAATGAGACTTTTTTTTTTCTTGTAAACTTCAAATAATAAAACCAATATCATCGGAACTAGGCCTTCGCAACAAAAGGGATCATTTTTAAGACAAATAATTCATGTACTTACCCTTGTTAAGGCATTGTTCTTTTGATGGACAATGCAGTTGCACATTCCAGACATGGGCCTTGAAACCCGACGCCGTGCTTGACTTGGTTACCCAATGTAACAGATCACGCAGGTAAAGGAACCTACATTATTATTGGCTGCATCGACCCGACATCTATTCTAATATTTGCCACCTGCCTGATGTCTCTTGGTCCTTAGTTTTAAACTGCGAAGTGGCCTCATGTCCCCGAGAGAGGCCAATTGCCCCCACGGTCAGTCACCCTGATGGCCTCGCCTACTGCCACTCGGCATCTGATTCGTGTGAGGATTTTTTTTTTTTTGCTCGGCCAGGTCGTGGCAGAGTGAGTGGTGGCTTGGCCACATTTAGCTTTGCGTTTCTATGAAGCCAGTGTTCGAACAAGCAAAAATGTTAAACCGTTTGTTACGCGACCTTTACAAAATGTTAATTATGCTTCGTTTATTCATACAGTGGTCACCGACAAGCACTGATCATCGCCTGTAGAACACCATTCCAGTGCCGGGCACTTGGAGAATTTTGCCAATGCGGGGGGGGGGGGGGGTCGAGTTCCTCGTCTATAAAGACTAATTAAGTTGATATTAAATGCGCCTTTTGTACGTCGTGCTAGGCATCACCGCCCCACACTCTCCCCCTGGCACATCTCTGCTCCATGCCCTCACCTGGGCAATCCACGCGCACGCACCAATACCACCAGCCGCCATTCGCTGTTAAGTGACGGTGACGTCACCACGGCGCCCGTGCCAGGCCGGGTGCACTTTAAGGCCACGTGACGTGTCGAAGGCTCGCTGACAGGAGGAGGTCACGGGACAGACCCATGTGCCATGGGTTGGCCGACTGAGATGACCAGAAGATGCATCAGCCGTACCCCTCTACTGTGCCAGCTTTTGCTGCATTTTACCTGCCCGGCGCTCCGCTCCTTGTGAGCGTCGCTCCTCTGCCCTCAGTTGTTGCTGCTGGAGGTTGCTGGAGGGCGACTGCCTCCCAACCGCTCAGCAGCGTCCTTCACGAGCCTCCCACACACAAACCGATCACCACCCCCACGAGCCCCCCACGGCACAACCCTCAAAGCATCGCCGCCTCCACCGCTGTCTCTCTCCCACCTAAAACGTCCCCCCCCCGTGTGTGGTGTGGGGGGATCTGACCGTGCTTGTTGTTGGTTTTCCATTGACGCTTTTACCCCTCGCGTTCTGCCCCCCCCCCCCCCACCGAACCTCGTCCGATCGTACGCTTTTACCCCTTTTAAATGAAATGCAAATGTAAGCATGCATTGGCTAAGTTTCCCGAGTTCTGGCCACTGAAATGGTGTCTTCATTGATGGGGGAGCGTGTATCGTCAAGTGACCATTACGCATGCAAGATTAAAAATCAACTTTTATTTGTTATTAATGCTTTTGCTACGGACGTATTTAGAATGTGAATGTTCAGTCAAGCGGACATCCGTTTTACTGTTATGACTGAATTTAGCATTTGGTCTATTGAGTGTTCAACGTTCATTATGATCTGTTACCTCTTGAAAATGTGTTTTTTTTAGCAGAAACATTGACGGGTGCGCAACCCTGCACTCAAACACATTCGCCGTGTGTCTGCTCATCAAAGGCAATATCTACCCCCAGGATGTGTCAGTGGGAGAGTGTGGTGTTGGGGCTAGAGGGCTACCTGCTGCTGCTGAGAGTGGATTGTCAACTCTCAGCCTTTCACCCAGAGCCAAGCCCGCTCATGATTATCAAAACTATCATTGGACGTGTTACACACGCACACGCATGTGTGTGTGTGTGTCTTGGCTTGCGCACTCCGGACACGATGCAGTATTTTTACGGAGAGCTCCACGTACACCTACGTTGGAGGTGCACGAGGACTGTGCTCTCAAAATCCTGGCATTGTTATCATCGGGTGAAACTTTAACACACTTTAAAAACGTTTTATGCACCATTTATAAAAAGTAATTTTGTATTTGCGCTCGTTTTGTTTTTGTGTTTAGCCGAATGCTAATGCAGTGGCGTCAACGGCAAATTACCCACGATGCATCGGTGTCCGTCTCACCGCTCACCAAGTTGCATGTGTTGACGCTTCTTTTGACGTGAAAACGTAACGAGTGAAACGAGAAGAACGGATTGTGAGCAAGAGATCCCCCCCCCCATCCCAATGATGTGTGAACAGCCCTCGCCATATCGCTCATCCCCGTCGAGGAAAGTTCATTGTCGTTCAGATGCTCGGTTGTCACACACTACGTTAAATACTCTTTGGTTTTTTCGGTAAAGTCACGTAGGTAAATTTCGATTTAAAGCTTTCGTGACTGCAGGGATTCATCTTCTTGGTTCTTTCGGTAAAGTCCCGTAGAAGGGAAATAATAAAATAATAAAAATAAAACAATGAAATAATTCTCACGACGTTTCGGCCACAACGCAAGCAGCCGTCCTCTACGTAACTTCACGTAGGTAAAACAATAAAATAAAATAAATGAAAACAACTAAATTAAATCACGACCTTTCGGAGGCAACACAAGGCCTCCCTCATCAGCTTTTTTTTTTACACCTGATGAGGGAGGCTTGTGTTGCCTCCGAAACGTCGCGATTTAATTTAGTTTTCATTTATTTTATTGTTTTATCTACGTGACTTTACCGAAAAAAACCAAAGAGTATGAATCCCTGCAGTCACGAAAGCTTCAAATCTAGAACTGCGTTAACTCCTCGCTGCCGCAGTGTTCTTCTTACCCTTCCCGAGTGCTTCCTATGTTTTAGTATTAATTGTTGTGGTTCGGTGGTGGTGTTTTTAAACGAGTCGGGGCCTGCCTCTGTGCGAGTCCTTACAGTCGGGTTGTTACACTGCAGTAGAGGCCGACCGAAACTGAAGTTCTGGTTTCGGACGAAACCGAAAGCCAACCGAAAGTTAAAAATTGACTTTCGGCCGAAATCGAAAGTTAAAAATTGACTTTCGACCGAAACCGAAAGTAAAAAACTGACTTTCGGCCGAAATCGAAAGTTAAAAATTGACTTTCGGCCGAAATCGAAAGTTAAAAATTGACTTTCGGCCAAAACCGAAAGTAAAAAACTGACTTTCGGCCAAAACCTAAAGTTAAAAATTGACTTTCGGCCAAAACCGAAAGTAAAAAACTGACTTTCGGCCAAAACCGAAAGTAAAAAACTGACTTTCGGCCAAAACCGAAAGGTAAAAATTGACTTTCGGCCAAAACCGAAAGTAAAAAACTGACTTTCGGCCAAAACCGAAAGTTAAAAATTTACTTTCGGCCAAAATCGAAAGTAAAAAACTGACTTTCGGCCAAAACCGAAAGTAAAAAATTTACTTTCGGCCGAAACCGAAACTATGCCGAAATATGCCATTTTCCAACTTTCGGCACCGAAACCGAATTTCAGTCTGCCCCTCTACACTGCAGGTTGCACCCTTGGCAGGTTCAGAACTTCAGCTGGGTTGAATGTGTGTGTGTGTCCCCAAATGTTTGTTCATTGTCTGTACAGACAATAGTTTCATTAACGTGACATTGCTTATATGTCTAAATATATAGTATATATTTTGTTCATGTACGTATTTTATCATCGTATATAATGTATATCAACCACTGAGCATTGTCACAGCAAACTCCCCTCCCCGCCTCTCCACTCCCTGGTCAGGAGGTATTGTGCGAGGCTTTTGGAGGCGCCTGACTTTAAAGATCTCGACACATTCGACAAGAAACACTGTGGCCTTGAGAAGGGGAAAAAAATTCGTATTTCTGGCGAATGGCTCTTCTTCATTGCTTTTGAGCAATCGGCGCTAGCAAAGAAAGGAACGGCCACTGCCTAAAACGACGTTTGGAAATTAACATCGGCCCCGCTCCTTTGCTGGACAACAAGAGCTTGAATTTTGATTTAAAGCTTTCGTGACTGCAGGGATTCATATTCTTGGTTCTTTCGGTAAAGTCACGTAGAAGGGAAATAATAAAATTATACAAATATAAAACAATACAAATTATCACGACGTTTCGACTGCAACGCAAGCAATCATCATCAGGTGTGAAATCCACAGCAAATTTTCTTTACCGAAAGAACCAAGAATAACAAGAGCTTGGTTTAAACTGGGTGGTTTTTTTGTTTGTAGTTCAAGTTCATTTATTAGGTATAGCCCTGTGAGCCATTCGGCTCTTGAATCGGGTGCAACCGCAACAAACAAAAAACATGAACAAAAAACATCTTAAAGTGAATATGTGAATAAGTGCAAACAGAAAATCCAAGAAAAGACAGCAAAATATTGCAGAAAAAAACACCGTACACCAACGCTAGTCTCCGTAAGACAAGGGGGTAGAGTTTACATCATCTTTGCATGGGGAAAAGTGCCTGTTGGCCATGGCGGATTTTGTGGAAACAAACCCAACCCCCCCCCCCCCCGTGAAACTTCTGGCGCTGGAGAAAGCTGTTTTTTTCAGATGCGCGTTGGGTGTGCAGTAAGCAAGGCCATCGGCGATGGAAACGTTTTCCCAGAGCCAGGCGTGGGGTTTGAATATTCCTGCGATGGAGTGAATATTGGCTGCGGTGTTGGTAACCTATTGCAAAGCCAGAGTTGTCCTCGAAATGCACCATTTACGCTCGCTTTTTAATTGCCATTGGCTGTTTTGCTTAAGAATATATTTGCTACGCTGACAATTAATTTTAGTCACTTTATCACAAAGTTCTGAACAGTTGGTAAAAAAAATTCGCCTGGGTTTTGGTCGTTAAAAATTTTGAGACGGCTCTTTTAGTAAAAAAAAATGTTACGATGTTTCTTTTACACTAATACTTGTTGTTATCGTGTCACATTCAAGCACACTCATGCACATTGCCTTTCACCAAATGGATGACTTGTGTTATTTTCAAATACAATTTAGAGTTTAAAAAAACGATGCATTCCGTGCGCTGATTCTCACTTTATTTATGCATACACCTACATGGGTTTTCGCAGTCAAAATGAATCCCGATTGATATTTAGAGTGTTTTGGCCACGATGATCTGACCAAATTTGTGACGTTAAAATTATGTTACTCTACAGGCAAACATGTCGTCACGTGCACGAGCGTTTGATGTGCCAATTGTGTGTTGTCGTTTTGCCTACTTTTAACACATCACATTGAGATACGGAAAAATAGAATGACTGATTCGGGCCAATACAGTTGTTATACAGGTGGGAACAACAGTTCCACACTGCCCACCAGGGATTATTTGTCTGTCTGTCGTGCATATCCACGCCCTCGATTTGTATTTCATAGAGCGCTTCGGGCGGGCTCAGCACCACGTGACGCGCCGTGCTGCCCCACGTATCGCACGAATGCGCTGTCCAACCAAGTTCCTACCTGCCCACTCCGAAGGAACGTGTTGACATTCTCTGTCTTAAAATACAGATTTAGAAGAGACTTTCTGCAAGAAAAAAACTCTCCAAAAGTTCACCCCTGGGTGGGCTTGAACCATCAACCTTTTGGTTAACAGCCGAACGCGCTAACCAATTGCACCACACAGACAGCTGCAAAAAAAAACAATTGATGTTCCATGTTGAAGGAATTCATGACATTCGCTGTCATAAAAACGAATCTAGTTTTGACTTTGTGAAATAAAAATACACTTTTAAACCTCGTCCCTGGGTGGGCTTGAACCACCAACCTTTCGGTTAACAGCCGAACGCGCTAACCAATTGCGCCACAGAGACAGCTGCAAGCAGTCACTTGCTGTTCCATCTTTAAGGAATTAATGACATTCGCTGTCTTAAAAACGAATCTCGTGTTGACTTTGAGGAATAAAAATACACTTTCAAACAGCGTCTCTGGGTGGGCTTGAACCACCAACCTTTATATTTCACAGCATAACACGCTGGCCAAATGCGCCAGAGACAGCTGCAAAGAACCAATTGCTGTTCCATGTTTAAGGAATGAATGATATTCGCTGTCTTGTAAAACAAATCTAGAATATACTTTCTACAAGCAAAAAAACTCTGAAATCTCGTCCTTGAGTGGTTTTCAACTACCAACCTTTCGGTCAACAGCTGAATGTGCAAACCAATTGCACAACAGAGCCAGCTGCAAGAAGCCACTTGCTGTTCCATGTTTAAGGAATTCATTATATCGGCTGTCTTATAAAACAAATCTAGAATAGACTTTCTGCAAGCAAAAATTCTTCGAAAGTCCGTCCCTGGGTGGGCTTGAACCACCAACCTTTTGGTTAACAGCCGAACGCGCTAACCAATTGCACCACACAGACAGCTGCAAAAAAACAATTGATGTTCCATGTTGAAGGAATTCATGACATTAACTGTCGTTAAAACGAATCTCGTATTGACTTTGTGAAATAAAAATACACTTTCAAACCTCGTCCCTGGGTGGGTTTGAACCACCAACCTTTCGGTTAACAGCCGAACGCGCTAACCAATTGCGCCACAGAGACAGCTACAAGGAGCAATTTGCTGTTCCATGTTGAAGAAATTAATGACATTCGCTGTCTTAAAAACGAATCTCGTGTTTACTTTGAGGAATAAAAATACACTTTCAAACAACGTCACTGGGTGGGCTTGAACCACCAACCTTTATACTTCACAGCAGAACACGCTGGCCAAATGCGCCAGAGCCAGCTGCAAAGAACCAATTGCTGTTCCATGTTGAAGGAATTAATGATATTCGCTGTCTTATAAAACAAATCGAGAAAAGACTTTCTACAAGCAAAAAGCTCCCCGAAACATCGTCCCTCGGTGGGCTTGAACCACCAACCTTTCGGTTAACAGCCAAACGCGCTAACCAATTGCGCCACAGAGACAACTGCAGTAAATTGCTTGCTGTTTCATGTTTAAGGAATTAATGACATTCGCTGTCAAAAAAAATAATCTAGTATTGACTTTGAGGAATAAAAATACACTTTCAAACAGCATCTCTGGGTGGTTAAAAGCTGAACGCGCTAACCAATTGCACCACAGAGACAACTCAACGACGCCACTTGCTGTTCCATGTTTAAGGAATTAATACAGGTAGGAACAACAGTTCCACACTGCCCACCAGGGATTATTTGTCTGTCTGTCGTGCATAGCCACGCCCTCGATTTGTATTTCATAGAGCACTTCGGGCGGGCTCAGCACCACGTGACGCGCCGTGCTGCCCCACGTCACACGGATCGCACGAATGCGCTGTCCAACCAAGTTCCTACCTGCCCACTCCGAAGGAACGTGTTGACATTCGCTGTCTTAAAAAACAGATTTAGAAGATACTTTCAGCAAGAAAAAAACTCTCCAAAAGTTCATCCCTGGGTGGGCTTGAACCACCAACCTTTCGGTTAACAGCCGAACGCGCTAACCAATTGCGCCACAGAGACAGCTGCAAGAAGCCACTTGGTGTTCCATGTTTAAGGAATTAATGATATTCGCTGTCTTATAAAACAAATCTAGAAAAGACTTTCTGCAAGCAAAAAGCTATCCGAAAGTTCGTCCCTGGATGGGTTTGAACCACCAACCTTTCGGTGAACAGCTGAACG